ACACACACACACACACACACACACACACACACACACACACACACACACACACACACACACACACACACACACACACACACACACACACACTCAGGTTTTTCTCTCCGTTTGTTTTCAGGCGTCAGTGACGAGCGGCCGTGTCGATGATCTGCAGAACAGTACCAGCAGCACACACCAGAGGGCGCAGGATCTCCTCCTGTTCATCCAGAACTTGACAGTGGATATAAACGGTACCTCAACTTTATATAAATACGATATATACTAATACGTGTTTTTGTCTTTTACTATATAACCGTCCACTCACAGACAAAGTGTCGCTGATGGATTAATGACGGTTTGACTTTTGCACAGACATCATTCAGATGTCGAACAGGTCGTCGACGAACGACACGGAGGCCGAGCAGGACGACGAGGAGCGGGAGAGGAAGATGAGGGAGGTGCAGGCGATGCTGAGGGAGATGAGGTTCAGGAGCTGTGTGGGACAGAAGAGAATGGCCGACAGAGAGAAGACGGAGGCGGAGAAACGTGAGAAGAAACTCACACGTCCGGATTCGTCCTTACAGCTTTTATATTAAACACACAACACGATGTTTTCTTATGTTCGGCCAAAACAAAGAGTTAATGACGGTGACGAGTAGATTTAGATTTAGATGGAGAGACTGGTCTCTAGAAGAATAACATGACATCACCTCTCCACACAAACTCGCAGCTATTTGAACGAACAAATGAATTAAAATCCACTTCAATAAAACACAAGTTGGATTTTTAGATTTATCAAACTGTAAAACTGGCAGAAGTGAGGGAGCAGCAGTATCTTCTAGGTTTCACTCATTCATTTTAAAACTCAGTCGTGTTTTTGAGTTCATGTCACTGAGTCTAACTCTTTCATCGTGCGAGTCGTCTTCAGACGTTGTACATGATTCTCTCCTGCAGGGGGCAGAGCGACGGGCGGCTAAACTTTAAAAACAAGGCTCTTACATCATTAGTGAAAACACTGGAGCTGATCGTGTCTCTGCGTCTCCCCAGTGTTGCACCGCGTTAACAAGGAGTTGGCGAATCGTCAGGGAGAAAACAACGACATGGCCAAAGCCGTCAGAGACCGTCTGTCCCGCTTCCTCTCTGAGATGATGGACCTGCGAGACGCCCTGAACGAAGCCGTCAACAACACGGCGAGAGCAGCAGAGGTCAACAACGTCAACGAGAAAACCCTGGAGGACAATCAGGTGAGTGGGACGTCATGAAGCGTCAGCAGAGAGAGGAGGACAGTGAAGGACACTGAGCGTGACGCTGTGTTCTCCTTCTCAGAGGAAGATGGACGACCTGCTGTCCGAGCAGAAGGAGGTGATGGAGCAGTTGAACATGGCTGAAGACGACGTGGCGCAGGTCAACGACCTCCTGTCCATGCTGCACGACTCCAAAGAGGTGAGAACAAAAACCCAGGACGAGCCGGAGCTCACATCAGTCACATCTGCAGAGGAACTGAAGACAAGTTTAAATATGGAGACGTGTCCTCTCGTCCAGGTTCTGTGTCCTCTCGTCCAGGTTCTGTGTCCTCTCCCTCTTTTTGAAAGCTTGTGATTTTGCAGGAGTACGAACGCTTGGCCGCTCAGCTGGACGGAGCCCGGACACCGCTGGTGAAGAAGGTGCAGGACTTTGCTTGGGTCGAGTCCAAGATCCCCCTGGTGGAGGAGGCGGAGAAACACGCGGCGCTGCTGGACGCTTTAGCCACGAACCTGAGCAGGTGAGACGGTCGGCTCCGCCTTGATTTACTCATCTAGTCGTGGATATTCATTTCTATCCTGAAATTCAAATAAACGTTTGTTTGACAGTTTGGTCGCAGAAACTAAGAAGGAAGGAATCGTAGACACGACTCAGGCCTACAACAAGATTATCAACAGCATCAAGGAGGCAGAGGAGGCCGCCAACATGGCCGCCAAGGCCGCCAACGCCACTTGGGAGGTACAGGACACACACGTTGTTTATCCTCACACCTTTAATGAAAGCTTTAAACTAAGAGACTTGTCTTCAGATGACGTGTGTGTGTCTGGTGTGTAATGTGTGTCTGTGTTCAGAACGTAAAGAACCAGGACCTCGGGCAGATCGCAGATTCTCTGAGGAACCACAGCGTGGACCTGAAGGACGAAGTCGAAAAGCTCAATGAGGAACTCAACAACGGTAACAACACGTCAACGCAGCATGTGACATCATCTTCATTAAGATTCCTGTAAAAGAGAATAACTGATGAAGTCGTGTGATTTGTTCGTTGTGCGTTCGTGCTGCAGAGCTGAAGCCGCAGATCGACGAGGCTCAGAAACGACTCGATGACGCCAAAAACAAACAGGTTCAGGTGATGAAGGATCTGGAGACGATTCAGAAAAACCTCAACTTCACCTCGAGTACGCACACACACACACACACACACACACACACACACACACACACACACACACA